CATCTTATGAACAGATTTTCAGTGTAAAAATATTATGCCAATCTTACAACTTTTCCATAGATTGTACACTTTCTACCGTAATGTTAGTCAGGATTTTTCCCACCACCAAAGAGAGCTATCGCGATAAAGAACCCGCCAAACGAGCCCGCTTAGGCGAACATGTCGCAAACCCAGTCAAGAATGGGAACGATTGGAAAGTATGAGTAACAATTCTGTAATGTAGAGAGTTCGCGTCAGGGTTTTCTTAAAGGGGAATCGTCAATCTTTACTGATGATGCAGTTGATATCTGGGCATCTCGCCACTGAATCAACGGTTGCATTATTTACATGTTTTTTAAAGCTGTTGTGATGGCCCCCCTTACACTTTTGTAGTATAACAGGTTCCCGTGTGTGGATAGGTGCAAACCGTCCCTAGCAAAGTATGCGGGAAAGTTTCTCTGAGCGAGCCTTATATGCGACCAAGTGGAGACGTTAGGAGTTTATACGAGTCACATAGATCATTACACCATAGTTCTAAGAAAACTAGGTCCGCCTGTGGGAAGTTGGCGCAAAGTCGTCCGAAGTTCGCTACTTTCCCACCGGAGAGGTACAGCCATTTTACTACAGTATTGTCAAGCCAAAAATCACGGCTTACTGCTCTACCACAGGCAGTGGTCGTGCGATGTTCAACAAACGCATCCAATCGACTGATAAAAGAGTGTCCTATGACCAAGACTGTTCTGCCCGGGGGACCCCCACTCTCCGCCATGTCCAAAGAATGAAGAAATAGAAACCTACCGCAAAAGTAGATGCACTCACTCTCCTGGAGAGTCAGCACGAAGCAAAACTGGAGATGCACTTCCTCGGAAAGTCAGGACAGAAAGATTTTTATCAGATATCCAAGCAAATGTGCGGCCTGCAGTGCTGTATTTTGGCCACAGTGTTTTGGAACCGAGCACTGGCCCGCCCGATGAAGCACATGGTTTTTACGGATTCTGATTGGTCAGTTCTTCGGGCTCGGCGTCACTTACAGGTTCCAAATAAGGAATCCCCGCGCTTCTGCGAAATATGATCCTAGCGGGCTGGAGTCGACAATCGTATCCGGCATAAATTTGTATATATGCCGGATACAGTGGTGCAAGCCAAGTGGGCATGATTGGTTTTTTTTGGGGGGGGGGGGCATTCTTAAAGTCAGGTAGCACACAGGGCTATCTAGGTTCAAAAATAGGTTGCCCCAAGTAAAATTTGGTTGCCTGGGGCAACTGGGCAACCAGGTATTTTGCACGCTGATGTATGCAACAGCAAGAGCTCACGTTTCTCTCGATGTTTCTCCTCTCACAGAATCGCGGACTCCGGAGCCTTCCGGATCATCAACGGCACCTGCGCGCACACGGACGACCAGAACACGCTCGCCCGGCCCAGGAAGTGTCCCATCGTCAAGGACATCAACATACCCTGTTCCTACAACACGGGGACAACTGTACAGCTCTCACTGACTATCATGATCATGCTGATTCACACTTTCATTGTCGATAGTTGAGAAGATACTAAAAAGTTATTGAGACTTTAGCAGACAAGAATAGTACAATTATTACCCTGCTCATACAACACTGGGACATCCAAACATCCCTAACTGCCATGGTCATGCTTACTGTCACGATCAAGCTGATTCACACTTCCATTGTTGATACTTGACTTGAGAAGAAAAAAAGGAAAACATCCCATGTTCCTACAACACGGGGACAACTGTACAGCTCTCACTAACTATCATGATCATGCTGATTCACATACACACTTTCATTGTCGATAGTTGAGAAGATAATTGAGACTTGAGAAGACAAAAGAAAACGTAGTATTACCTTGTTCCTAGAACACTGGGATTCACATTTTCATTGTTGATACTTGACTTGAGAAGACCAAAAGGAAAACATACGCTGTTCCTACAACACGGGGACATCTGTACAGCTCTCACTGACGCTGATAATGCTTTCAGCTTTCGCTTGGATTCACACTTTAATCGTTGATACTTGACTTGAGACAAAAGAGATAACAAGGCAACCCAACATACCCTGTTCCTGCAACACAGGCACATCCGCTCATCTCTCACTCCAGAGCTGATGATGATCATGTTATTAGTTTTCACTTCCATTGTTGAAGACAAAAGAAAGACAATTGACTATATTATCGATGATGATGAATATGACAAAAACTATGTCTATGAGAAACTATGTACATGAACAGACATGCCATAGCGTTTCACTAGATACATACATATTTGTGAAGATCGGGCCAATGTGAAGCTCAAATTTTAGAAAAGATTAACCAAATGTATCTTGAGTTGCATATTACAGGGCCCGAAAACGATCTTGCCTCTAGCCTCTACCAGGCTTCGGGAAGCGGCTGGGTAGACAAGAAATCGGGCAGAAAGACAGATAACATACCGGGGGAGTTAGTCCGCCAGAGAGAACAGTTTGAGCGGCAAACTGTTTTCTCTGGCGGACCAACTCCCCCGGTATGTTATCTGTCGTTCTGCCCGATTTCTTGTCTACCCAGCCGCTTCCCGAAGCCTGGTAGAGGCTACATACGTACCGGGTTCCTGGTTGAGTTTAACCTACCAAGGACCCACTGACTGATAATACTGACATGACTAATGATGTACGTTGTTACATGTACATGGAGGACTTACTGTTGGATTCTATGAGCAATACCTTTTAGATACATGTATAGTTTTACTGAAGTACTTACTATCATGTGCAATAACAAATTAGGCAGCATATATACGCTTGATGTGCGTCCTATTTTATATGAGAATCATGATGATGGGTAGTTAACACTAACATCACGCTATTGCCATATTATAAATGCCAGCAACTATAAGTATTTCGGAGTAAATAGAAACCTCAGACTCTAAATGTATACTTGTACACCCTAAACTGCCAGGCTATCTTACTACATGTTCATGTAGTTTACAAATTTGATAAACAGGAATTTATTATATGTATGTATAGGGATTTATGTTTCATACTCTTGTTATATATTGACCTGACTACAGATATTCTGTTTTAATCAGACTTTTGCCTGGTTTCACTAGTAAATTTGGTAGACAATCATGTTCATACATGTGTATATTATGCAAGCTTCCTACATGTTCATAATGTAAACTTCCTAGATGTATATCAACAAGCAAGAAAAAGGTTATTTCCTTCAATATAATAAACCGTTTGTAAAATACAAATTACCTCAAAACACAACTTCCATGAGTGTTCACTTGCCTTTATTATGATGTCAACAGATAAAGAACAGTAAATTACATAGTCAGAACTATTGCTATTACAGGTACTCAGCAAAATACTGTCTGATCAGAGGAACCAATGAATAAAGTTGGGGTTAGGGCGATGCAATGTTGCACAAAAACTTAAACCGTTGTTCATACACTACACTAAAATGCCTTGAGTAGGATCGACCATCATTGCTTGAAATGGTGGGCAATTTTTCAAGCAATACACCTAGTACATGTATTTTTGTGAAACGTAATGTGGGCAATGTTAATCTACAACTTGGAGACTTCCATCTAAGATCTAGCCTGATTCCAACACTATGGAAACAGAATGTCTAACAATAGTTGGTCCATGTTAGTAATCTCCAAGCAGATCCCTCTCGGTGGCAAAAAGACCGGTATCAAATTGGCCAGGCAGTATCCATTAGCCAGAGGAGGTCGGTGGGGGTAGCGACAAAAAAAAAAAACGGCCATATATAAAAAGCTAACAATCATTCCCCCACAACCTCTGCTTGGAGAGTACATGTTACCGGTAGCACAAAATTAACGCATAAATCAACAGTACTAAAGCTGTTCCCAACTCTCCTGACTTAGAGGTGTTGGCCATCAGGTTTCCAGGGGCCCGACTAGAATGGGTACCATCCGAATTTCCACTCCACGACATAACTTTTTCTAGCGTTGCGGAGCA